CAATGGTTAATATGTATATTAAGTTTGAACATCAATTTTCTTCTGTTACTAACTCCCGACCTGAGCCCTTTCCTTTTACTGGTAAAGGTAGTTGAGTTGCAACTTCTGCTGCTAGTTCTGTTGCCGCCCAAAATTTGTTTGTTTCCTGAACGTCAAGGATTTAGTTGTTAATTAAACGTCAAGCATTTTGGTATACATTTCTTATTTTGGGGCGAAAAAGGAAAGAAGAGAAGCTGCGCTCGGTTTCAGCCCACAACATAGGAGAAAGTAGTTGTTAATTAAACGATAACGGGTATCAATTGTACAAAGCATAAAAAAGGTGAAACTTGTAAAGCGTACGATGTGTAAATTCTTTGAAATTGCTCATAATCCCCCAAGGAAAATGGTACAGGCACACTTTGTGCCACACCCCCTCTCTCAGCTACAGTGCATGGGGCTCACACATGTGATTTTTTAATCCCATGTGTAGGCTCCGTGTACTGTATCCGAGAGAGGGGGTGTGGCACAAGGTGTGCCTGAGGGTGTGCCTGTAGTGCCACCCATCCCCCAAATCCCAAGGGCCTTGCAATTTTGTACCACCATGACCAAAATACTACCTTTGTTCATGCTTTGATGTTTTTCTGATAAAAAAAAATTAGCTGAGGGAATATTTACATTAAAACTTTCTACAATGCGGGATGATCTAAGCTATACAAGGGGCCAGCAAAATGCTTAAATTGCCTCATTGTTTGATATCTCAAGGGCTCAGAACCTCCCACACTGTGTGGTTTCTTGGAATTGTCGTCGTTATTATTTTGCCCAAAATCACCCTGAAATCAAGGATGGTTAACAAGTATTTCTCGACCTTCACTTTGTAGGAAACCAACTGAGGTGATAGTCAATTGAGATATTTTTATGCAAAATGAGATAATTGTTAAAGTGAAATAATTTTTCGCTAGAGAGATATTTTAGTGGGATAAATAGGAACAATTTTGTGAAGCATCTATGAAAAAAGGGAGACATAATTATTTTTTACCAACAATGGAGGCATCAATATTAACACCCTCAATAACATAAAGTAGCTTTCCAGCCCATTTTTGCTCCAAAGAGCTCAAAAATGAGTTTTCTTATACCTACCGACGTTTCAAGAAAGGATTTCTAGAAATTCTTAGTGATACCAAACAATTTATTTGGATTTGTGTGAGTGTGTGTTTGGGGTGGGGTGGGGTGGGGTGGGGTGGGGGGTCTCTAACGACTTCTGGAGTTGTTTGTTTGCATGCAAGTGAAAGCTAAAAGTGAGAAAGTCACTTTCGTTTGCCAATTTAGGTGTTTGTTTGCATGCAAGTGGTTATGCAAGAAAGTTGCCACATAGAATTTAATGTAACTTTGACTTTTCCTAAAAAAGTGGTGAATTCACATGAAAGTGACAAAAACAATAACCAATTTTAATTATATTTTCTAATTAATCTTATTTTGCCACGTCATCTTCACATTTTACTTTCAACAATAATTTAATTTTTCAAACAAAATTTCACTGGTATGCTAACATGGATATAAAAGTTATTTATAAAAAAATAGTAATTTATATATTTTAAATTCACTTTCAAATTATCAAACACGCCCACTGAGTGCATAAGAGGATTTCCATCCCTTTTCTGAGGTTTCCATTTGAACCAAGCAACCCTTTAGGACAGGCTAAATACCCATATTAGTATTTTAATTCCACCCTAATTTTCAACAAGGTATTTTAAATAGGCAAACACGCTTTAAGATATTTTAATTGATCCAACTAATCAATAAGGCATGTTTTCTCGTCGGCGGGCAAATTTCCGACGAGATCTCGTCACGTGCATGGCATGTTGGTTAGTTGGATCAATTAAAATGTCTTAAAGCGGGTTTGCCTATTTAAAATACCTTGTTAGAAATTAAGGTGGAATTAAAATACCAATATGTGTATTTAGCCCTTTAGGACAAGGCAGTTGCTTTTCGCGACTGCTCTTATACTTTTTCATGTTATCGTGTCCTTCTACGTGGAAGACCGATTTGTTATTCGTTAAAAAATAAAAAAACAAAAACTTTCCTGATGCTACGGTTAATTCGTATGAAATTATTGAAGATGTGGGGGGGGCTAAAATCTAAAACAACCCTATCTTCTCCACCGCGGGTCCCATGTGGTCCCCTTCCCCCTTCGCATCTCCCGTTCGCCCTTCTCTCTACCTCCAGCTGCGTGGGCCCCACGCAACTGGACCAGGGGAGGTGGGGGCCTCATAAATGCGCGCTGCCTCGCGTTTTTACCCTTTTGCCCCTCCTCCTTATAAAAACCCTGCCCCCCCACCCATCTTGCCCCTCTTATTTCGCGAGACGCCAGAGGTTTCTTTTCTTTTGTCCGCGAGGCGAAAGAGGGAAAACAAAAGAGGGGGGAGATTAAAAGAGGGGAAAAAAAAACCCTAACCCTAAATCTTATCTCAATCGATCGAATCTCAACCTCGGTGCCCTCAAATCTCCAAAATCTCGGAATCAATCGGCGGGGAGCTCTTCTTCGGCGGATCGA